GGGTAACATTAAAAAATTAGTAGCTTACACCCAGATGAAACAAAACCAGGTTTGTAGGGAGAGTTCGTACTCTTTTATTAGAGTAACTTCTGTAGTTTGAAAAAAATAGGCAAGCTTTTAGACAGACAAGACCAATTCTGGTCTGGAACAGAAGGAGGAGTGTTCAAGCTAAGACCAAGCTGAGAACAACTGCTCTGCTTTTACTTTGTCATGTTAAACGGAACACTGTTAGGACTGATAGGCCCCCTCTTAGGGCCTGAAGGGTCAAGTTCTGAGTTAAGAAGAGGTCCAGCTATCTCAGTCTATATTAATCCCACGTATGGCTCTACCAGCTTCAGTAGACAAAGACTGTTAACCTAAGCATTTAATGATAATTTCCACTGAGGATTTGTTTATTTACAGTAAAAGGCAGGGTGGCCTTAGTGGGCAGGACTCTAGGCTGAAACTCTGAAGCCCACTTTCTTTTCTTCCCTCAGCTGCTACTGAGTGATCTACAGTGAGTGCATCTATCTGTCAGCTTCTGTGTGGTAAATGGGCGTATCTAAACTGGCCTTCTTGCAAAGTCCTTTTAGATCTACAAAGGAGAAGTGTTGCACAGCTGCTATACACTTCTTCATTACTAGCTCTTTTTCATGTGGTTCCTTTAATAGACATTTGAGTTCTGATAATGTTGCACCCTGTTCTCTTCTGAACGGAGTATAACATTACTGGTGCTAGTAGCATCTCCGTGTTTGCTAAATGTCACTAAATGTCACTCCTACTACTGTAATGTAAGCAGTTAAAAAGTTATTTTTCTAAATTTCCCAATATCAGATATGCTCTTAAATAGGAAAAGGCTATATGTGTTCAGGAACTACACAAGTTTCTTCATCTCCCTGGACAATTGCTGCAACGGCAGATCCAACCTGAGTGGGCACATGTGGAAACAAACAACTATGTTGATGCTCACAGATTTTGTAGTAAATGTACAGTAAATGCTATCTTTGTCACATGTAAATAATACACAGGAAAATGAATGCTGAAGAATTTCCCATTATTCTGTAATGTAGGTGTATGTGCAGTCAAATGTACAAATGCATAACCATTCTTAGGCACAATAGCAAATGTATGTACTATGAACATGTTTAAGTATGCATACATTGGCATTAAATAGTGTGCAACATATATATAAAAAATATGGCAAATAAACATTCAGGTTGCAAAGACAAGAAACATCGGATAGTCCAGAATTCAGGTTTCCTGGGCATCCTTAATTAACCCTTTTGAATATGTATGGTGATACAATTTTAATTACATGATAACATGTATGTTTTTTTTTTCCTTAACAGATTCTTGCTTCAGCCAGTCAATAGGAGGCAGCTTTTAACCTTTCTGGTTTTATCTTATTCCATTCAGTGCTCTGGCCTCAGATTTCGTGTTAGTGCACATGATCCAAGTATTACACTGAACACATGAAAAACATTAATCCCCTTCCAAGGTTTTGTTTCTCTGTTGCTTCCACGACAGCATCTTAATATCTCCCAAATCCTGATGAATTTATCTCTGCCGTACATCTATACAGGATGAGAATTCTATTTGCTTTACAATATTATTGCCATCATGCAAAAGTACTTAAGCACAGGGGGAGAAAGGACAAAAATGTCAGAATGACAACTTTCAGTGAAAGCTGAAAGAGGGAGCTGTGGGAGCCTTCGCATGTGCAGAATTTCCCTAGCACTTTCTCCCCCCAAAAGCACAGGGCCAGTTGACTTCAGCTTTAAGCACTTCTGCATTTCAGGCCCCAGGTGTCTCTTGTTGAGCACCCAGAAAATGAAGCCAACCACTCAAGAGGGAGGAAATTCCAGAATTATGTCATCATGCCTACATGTGGGGAGGGGAAAGAAGTTAATCGTGCCCAGGCAATCCAAATTCTGGCATTTGCTAACATTTTAGCATTTGGCTCACAACCCTGTCATTCTTTTAGTTGAGTTTCTCTGTGTGTGTGTATACATTTCTCTGTAAATAAATAAGGACATCTGAATTATATCTAATCTTCTAAAAACTCTTGCACTGCCTTCTCAGTAAAACTAATTTATTGATGTGTGTGCTCTTGGAAAAAGGCAGGGCATGTGTTTTAATAACCTTTACTGATTGTTCCTGCTGCAATTAAATCTAAAGAACTCTTGGGAAACTTGGTTTTGATTTTTCCCAGAAGAGGAAGGAAGGGAAATAAAGAAGATCTACCTTAATAGGTGCTGAAGTATTGATACACCCCCCTGCTCCAGCTGTGCCTCAGCCATTCACCCCTATTCTGCTTTAGAAGCAGGAATGGGCTGCAGGCAGGCAACTACTTTGACACCCAAAATCAGGGGGATCAAGAACTTCTAGGGGACAGGGATAAATTTGCTTCACTTCAATCTGAAAATCTGCTACTAAATCTCAATCTACATTTGCTACATTGTCCCTATGCATTACCAAATTACAATCCAGGCATTTAAAAGCAGAGCACGAAGCTTTTAAAGTCACAGTACTTTCAATTAAATATTGGTTTAGGTTTTGTTTGCTGCCTGCATATTTTCTTGACCCTCCACCTTCTGAAACTCCCGTGCACAAACTGACAGGTTGGAAACACATTAAAAATGGAAGTTGAAATCCATATGTAAACAGCTGGCTCCAAGAGCTGGTGCTTTAGGGAATGAAAACTTGTAATGCAAGACTCACAAAACTCTTGTGGGAGTTGGCTTCATTAGTATCTGCCATAAGCGTGTCTGTATGCATATATGAGTACATCGTTGCGATCCTATCTGTGCATGGATATGTACTTGAGGCTAGCAGAGTATTCACTCCCTGTGCCAGTCACTCTTCTGTCTTCTCACACTTCTCATATGTTCTTTGAGGTTGGGAGTGCCTCTGTCTTTCAGAATCTCCACTAGCATCACAGACCGATGGCACAAGGACCCTTTTTCACCCCTCCTGTGTGTATACAGCAGGAGAGCTCCTCTCGCTGACTCTCTGCTGACTGAGTCGGATGTTATCTGTCTTTCAGCCAGTGGACAGAGCAATGTGTTTACCCTGCCAAAATGGAACACCCTGCCTTGCTCTCTAAAAGCTTTTCTCTATAGCCCTTCTGTGTAGGGTACCTAGGGAAATGTAATGATCAGGGAAGGCATCAAAGGGAGGCATCGTGAGCGCCCTACCTTTCTTACACTTCAAGTTTCATGATCTGAAAAATCCCTGATAAAGGAGTGGCATTCATTACTAGTGCTTTTAATTCTGGAAATGCCTCCTCATCCATACTGGATTCCTCCTTCCTTCCCAGCCTGTGGAGCACATGATTACCCCTGGTGACTGGAAAGATGAGCTTTCCCTTTCTCCTCACTGCAGTCACTAGCAGTAGGGGGAGCGATGGCAGATCTTATGCCAAGATTTCATCATTTTTCCAAGAGGGAAAAGCATGTCTGTCCGTGATGAGACACTTCCTTACAGTATGTGGCTAAGCCATGCTCTCTAGCCAAGATACCAGCGTACGTGTCCCCTGTGGGCTTCTGGGAGAGAAGTCCTTGGTAGGCAACATGGTGGCAATAGCATGGTGCCTATAACGTTGTTGAAAACAAAACACAACTGCATGTTCCTGTTTGCTGGATGCAACCTGTCAGCACCACCATCCCCTTAAGAAGCCAGGAATGATTGCAGCCAGCCTTTGCAGTAGAAGGTGCCTGTAGCTAAGTAGTTGGAGAAGTATGACCTGTTTCCCCCTGTATGCTTCAAGGCCACGATAACATGGCAGGTTAGAGCAGGGAGTGTGCCTGGAGAAGCACCATGTCACAAAGAACTGTGTGGTGACAGGCAGGTTGCTCAGAAAGCCCTGGAGGAACTGCAGTGTTTTTCCTGACAGCTAAATGCCCCAGGGCCAGGACAACATGTGTTCTGTCATGCCATGGACCAACACAGGGCACTGTGCTTGCTATGCCTTACTGGTATGTCAAGCTCCAAAATCACTCCAAAATAATTCCTCCATAGCCCATGGATTTACTCATCCTAATTGTCAAATACTTTTAGAACCAGCTCTATTTTCAGTCCTCCTAGCTCATTGAATCTAGAAAGCTGGGTGTCTCTACCCTCTCAAGGGTGTGAGTAGGTTGTGTGCCAGCTTTAGGCACAGGAGAATGGATCACATTGCTATAGCTGGGAGCAAGTAATGAGAGCTAAGTAAATTTTGAGCCATTTTGGCGCATCACTGTCTTTGTAGCTCTGCTTATGTTTTGGTCTGGATAATCAGAACCCTTCTAACCTCAGACAAATATCAAGGAATGAATGATTTGCCCTCCTGAATAAAATGAGAACATGTGAGTGTGGGGAGAGAGGGGAAGGGAGAGAGACATTTGCATAGGTCAGGAAAGGTCATTAAAACATCTGGCAGTAGTAACTGACATGTGTCAAACTTTAGTATTCATTAAATTCATATTAATGCAAGAATGGTTCTTAAGCTCCAAATGCCACTTTGGTTGCTGTGTTCCCCCAGTTGATGGTGATGACTTTTCAAAACTGTACCATGCTTGTTTTCTTGCTAGTGGCATATGACCTGAGGTCAGATTTCTATTTAACCTCTTCCTGTAGGTCAAAAGACAAATTAATCTTGTGAGAATTGAATTGGAAATTAGGTGTCTGGATAGCAGGTGTCCCAGCTGTGGAATAGCTGCCAGGCTGAAAAATGATTGTATCTGTCCTTATGCCATCCAAGAAGTCATCTCCGAGGTCAGGGAGATATTCAGCTGACATCTGAGATGGGAAGTTGCTACAGGGAGCAGAAGTGGCAGGTGCCCTGCGCTAGCAGAGTATCTTGCACTCGGGGGGAAATGCCTGAGAGTGTCACTCTGAGCATAAATGTAGATGTTCCATGTATTGTGCACTTTGCTTTACCTGGGTTTATTACCAGTTTATAATCGTAAAGAAGACATAAAATTTCCAGGCTCCTTAAGGAGGAGAATCTCATAATCTTTTTTTTCCTTTTTTTTTTCTAGAGGATGAAGATGACGAAGAGATGGTGGAGCCAAAAGCACAGGATGACTTGGAGATGGAAAGTCAAGACCAGAAGCAGGAAGTGAAAGAAGGTACTTTAAAAAATGAAAAGGATATTGCTAGTTGTATAAAGGACTGGGTTCTGCCAGTAGTTACTCTCATAGGTAGTTTCCATTATTGAGAATACTAAAATCCAAACAGTCACCAGTTTTATTGATTCAAAACCATATGAGTGGCATAAAGCAGAAAATTGTATCCCAGTGACCCAGCTGGTAGGCCTGAGAAGCTTGTGAAAGGCACAAGACTTCAGCTGTTTAGAAGAAGCTACATGTCCTTATAATTTGGGAACAAAATAGAGATTCTTGGATCCCAGGACTTATGCTACTTTTTTCTCTGGCTCAAATACCCTGCTCACATGAAAGATTTAAAATGCAAATGCCAGGCATTCCAGCAGCTCTATAAAGTTGGTTGATCTTCAAAGGTACTTAGAGTCCATAACTGCCTGCTTGAGAGTGACAAACTCGAACCTCTTGGTAGTCAGGAATCTTCCAGCAGAAAACCATTTCACTGGAAAAATGTTGACTGTCAAAACCAAAACTTTTTGTGGGAACTGCTTCAAGGGCACTTAAAAAAAAACACATGAAGCCAGGCAGGTCCAGGTCTTCTGTCCATTACTGTGCACTGAGACACTCTCCAGGGTTACAAGAGACAAAAATTCAGGTTATCTCTTGATTCTGGTGCAGACAAGAGACACTTGCCAAAGTCATACATGTCAGCACTGGACATGGTAGATATGCGTGGTGTCTCTTTTCCTTATCTTGGACTTGTCCTAGCTTTCGAATTAGAAGAAGGATGTGAAATGTCTTCCTCATCTAGGAATTTACTAGAGTATTGTCTATTCTGGTGTGTCAATGCCTTCAACAGTCAGTGCTCACTCCTGTGTGGAGTGGGGAAAAGAGCTGAAACAGCAGCAGCTCTGGGGTGAAAGGAAATGAGTTTCTTCTCCAGCATTTCTTACCTCTGTATTGCCAGGACTGCTCAACATGCTGTGTAACTTACTTTTTCAGGTTGGGCCTATGTCCCTTCTTGCTATGGTTGTCATTAACAGGATGATTCTGTGACCTTAGTTTTGTTTTTCACAAGACAATCTCACTAGGAGAAAAATATGTAGTAATTTTACAGAGAAGCCTATGAAATCTTTAACTGTGAATACAACAGTGGATGCTTCTTTCTCATTCAGGGGAGACTGGTATCCTTTTATCAGTGTCCAAAACAACTTGAATCCAGTATACAGTGCCCACATTTGCTATCCTCACACACTGAAGTGAGTTGCAGAATCAGCTGCACTGTTTTGATTATAAATTGTTCTTTCTTTCCTCTTAAGAACATCATAGAAATCACCCATGCCATAAATCCTGTGGTGTTCATTGCTCATTAGGTCCTTGTAGAAACACAGAGGGAGAAACTCATTCCTCCTGCTCCTCATCCTTCTACTTCTCCCACTGGCCCCAGCCACTGCTGCCATGGGCAGAGGGGAGCAGTGGGAGCAGTGGTGACAGCAGGAACAGGAGCCAGACAAGTCTGCAAAGGCAGAACTGAGGACATGAGCAAGAAACATGGCAACATAGAAAAACTTACTTTTTCATTAAAATTACACTTCCTTCCAGAACTGTGGGGTCAACTCACATACAGCCTGTAGCAGTCACTGGACCTAACAAAGTGTCTCTTTTACTGGTGACAACCCAAAGCCCTAAAAACCGCTATCACTGCACTCGGTACGTAAGCACTGTCCTGAGTTGCTTAATGTCCCTCCAGTATTCAACTTACAGCTGATACTACACCCATTTATTCCCACAGAAAAGTAGCATTAATACTTATACGTGGGGAGAAAGCACAAACTCCTGCATGAAGAGAAGAAAAAATCAAAATACAATCCTGAACTGATTTATTTTACTTTCTTGTGGGCTTTCAAATTAAACTCTTGTGTACTTTGCTAATTAACCGCCACTGCCAAAATCTTTAATTTCTTTGCTGTGTTTTAGTCAGGAGGCAGTGCTCCCCTTCCCTGCCTAGCAGACCCCCCAGGAGTGGAAGATCAGCTGGGCTGGTTTAGCACTCGTCTCAGACACACAAACTGCAGGTTGTAAAAATAAGGCACAGCTTGTTTTAGCAGAACCAGCTTTGTGAGGTGCTAACATTTGACTGGGTTCAAGGAAGAAGAAAACATGCTCATTGCCTGATAGAAAGTGAACTTGCCCTGCAGTATATGTTGTGATGGATGAAATAGTGGCATGCTGATGATAGGCATCAAATGCTGTGAATCAAACAAAGCCGCCAGCCCCAAACCGACACGGAACGGAGACTCATTTTTTTTGTGTTCAGTGTCCTTCTCTCCCTGTTGGCTTTAGCCCTTTTGACTACAAAATCCCATTTTCCTCTCTGTTGTAATCACCCTTCTCATGTTCTGAGTAACATTCAGAGTTTGAAGCCATCATTTGTGTTTCATGGAAGTGATTAAAACCACGTTACAAGTCAAACAGGAGTTTAGAAGAACATTTCCTGTCGGTGCTGCACTCTGTGTGCCTACTCAGAATTAATAGCTTTTCTGCAAATTAGCACATAATGGGTTAAAAGCATGTTTATGTTGGCATTAAGTACTCTGGCTTCTTTTTCTCTGCAAGGCAAGACAATATTTTGCAAACTTTTTAAAGAATCTCTAATAGATATTATAGTGGCGCCATTCACACTGCTATATAGTAGTTAAGGCTGTGTCAGCACTTCCATTATGAATCCTGTTTTTCAGGGATTTATAACCCAGCCGTAAAAATTTGCTCTGGGCTGAAATTTGGTTTCAGCTCAGGGAGCACATTTTTTAACAGATTAAAAAAAATCAGCATGGCTTTTTTTGAGTTATAGAAGTGTAAGAAAAAATCCATGGGAGAGAGAAGTGCAGGAAGGGAAAGACAGAAAATTTTTTTATGAATAAAACTCAAAAATAGGTTAAGATAAAAAACAGAGCTTGGATCTAGTCTGTTCAGTCTTCCTCTCTCCAAGCCAACAGGTAAGGGGTCCTCTATTTTTGTAATGGTATTTTAAGAGGAAATGTGATTTTTTTTCCTCTGTGGATTATAGATAGGCCAATTTAATTCTACAGATATTTATAGCATGCTTAATTTCCTCATCTTCCCCACCCCCCCAAGAGTTGCTCTATGGAGTTTTGTAGTATTATTCAGCAGTCGTGGGTGTTTGCACGGTCTGACCCTAGTTCTGGACATGTCTCAGCATCACCATAAGGCACACAGTGTACCTGCAATGGGGCAGCCTGTCTGACACCTCTTGCAGAACTTCCTTGCCAAGGAGATGCAAAAGGCAGAGGTACAGCTTGAACCCCCCAAAGTGGAGTGGGAAATGAAGAACTGACTGGCTGACCACTTGAAGCATATGAAGCCTTGGGGCCACCTTGTGTTTCTTCCATGGGGCTGCCTGTTGTCACCTGTGTCTCAGGTGCATGTTCTCCCCACTGTTTTTGGAAGAACCGATTGTGGGATACCTGATGGTGAACTGGGATGGGCTCTGCCTGTTCGCAGCCTCTCCTGACCACATAAACAAGACACTGGTCTCAAACTGTGGCATCAAGTGGGATGGAGCTTTCTACCACCAGAGAGCTCTGGAGCTCCACCTAAGGCGCCTCTTTGTGTCAGTAGAAATCACATGACCAATGGGATGCGCTGGATCTTGAAAGTGGGCTTCAACCTGCATTTATCTGAAGCTATAGGTATATCCACAGAAACATGCATGAAAGGCTGTGATGGGAAGGCTGGGATTTGCAGCTCCAAAGACTTGCTGTGCCCTGCTCTTGCCCTGGCTTTACACATGGTGCTTGAGTGTCCACATAGCAGACCATGCTGGTGGAGATGGTTTAGCTCTCAACAGCTCAGGCATCAGTATCAGGAAAGCAGGACAGGCTGTGGTGAGGTTTGTAAGAGCAAGTGATGCCATGATTTCACTGCCACTGACACTAAGGAAGCTCAGGTGTGCCAACCCATCCTTGCAACCCAACTCAGGCATGCTCAGGGATGGTGCTCAGCATGGCTCCTGGAGAAGCACAGTCAATGGGAACAGCCCTGCCTGCCACAGATCCAGATTTAAGGCTCTGCATCTCCAGAATCAAAAAATCCCTAAATGCACCTTGAAATCTTCCTTTATGTGTTCAGCAGTTATGCCATGTGGGGGCTTGCCAACACAACCAAGATATGACATATATCAAACCATGATATGGCACAAAGCTGGTTATGGAATATGTCAAACCTAACCTGACATGAAAGTGTGAAGCACAAGAAAAGCAAGAGGATCACGAGCTCTCAGCAGGCAAGGACTGGAAGCTGCTGGGAGCCTCTTCACACATTGTGGTTCTCACCCTGTACCTTTTGGCCATCCTCATTCATCAGCACATCTAAAGTTTACATGGATTTAAATAGATGCTGAAAGAAATAATATAGCTCTTAAAGGGGTGTTACTAATCTCCTTCTGTCTCTTGTTATATCTCTGGGTTCATAACAAGGCTGCTTCCTGGTTTACTGTTCTTATTAGTTTGCCCTTTCTTTTGTTCACTTATTCCTTTTGGTATTTTTCTTTTTTTTTTTTTTCTTTAATGGACTTCAATTCTCTTGTCAGGTTTTTAGAATTGCTGAGATTCCAGGAGAATCTTTTTTATAGTTTATTAAAATTATTTAAATAATTTTTTTTAATGTCTTTTTGACTCTCTTGGAAGAAGACTCAAATCCTGGTATTTGAATATTTGTGAATTTGATCTTTCACTGTGATCCCAACTATTTATGTTATATTTAATACAAATATGCTTCTGCAGAATAAGAACAAGTCTGCAGTAATTTTATCTTAGTTCCTAAAAACTCAAGAAAATGTTTTAATATAAATTTTTTTTCTGTTTTTTATAAAGAAATTTATGGAAAAAGGACCCAATGTGGAACATGTTACTTCTGAGGATCATGTTAAATCATGTGAAATAATAAAATGTTCCTATTGTTCGTAAATAAGTCTTGAATAAATTGGTTGTTTTCACATCATGTTCAATTATTGTTACATGTTCTAGACCTTTCTGTTCAAACACTTAGTGTATGATATTTTTCATTACAGATACACCTCATATTTTCTTTCCCTGTGGCGTCCTCTGTGCATATGTAACTGCACAGTGATTTTATTTTAATTGCAAAATCCATTTGATTTTGTACAGTATTATACATTAGCATAAACACTGGGCTTCTTTGATATATGTTGTTGACCTCATAACCCCAGAGCCACCTACACAGCACTCTACTCATGGGTACGTGGTCCCATCAATGTCTCCGTGGGCTCATGGACAGACAGGATGCCCAGTGCTCCTGTTAGACAGGACTTTGTGGCTGCACCATGGGTCCTCCTGCTTTGAGCTGTGAGGGGCCACAGGTGGGTTCAGCTCCTCTGGGTGGGATCAGAGCACAGGCACAACAGTTCATTAGGAAGCTATGGTGTAGAAGCAAGAGCAAAGTGTGGGTTTCCCTTTGCAGGAGCTTTCATCGCACTCCAGGCAATAAGCACATAACTTTTAGCAGTGGTAAACTCCACATTGTGCTGGGCTTTATTACACACAGAAGGTTAGATGTGGTTGGTTTGGGTTTTGTGCCAGGGAGACTAGGTATTTGAAGACAAATGCTGTATTCTTACGGGGAATTTCTGAAGATATTGTCACATCACATAGGTCTCTGTGACAAAACAAAACAAAAAAAATACTTTGATCAGCTACTCACGTTTCTCAGAATTTTCCTTGAAGAGAACTTGTGTTTCTTGAAAGCTGAGATCAAAGTCACTGTAAGCTCATGGATTGGAAGAAAAATTGCAGAAAATTACATAGATTCTTTTTATTTTATTCAAGGTAATGGACAGGGAGAAGGAACAAGGAGAAAATGGAAATGGCTCTGAAAGATAAATGGTTAGAAAATCTTCATATTTGAAAACCTGTCTGTTTTGTGTTTTTTGCTTATACTTCATGTATTTACAGTAGTTACAACAATGTTTTACTCTGGAAAAAGTAATGATGTTAACCTTCTTGTAAGAAGAGATTGCCTCAAATAAAACTTCAGAGGCAGCCAAATGAAAGAAGAAAATAAGGTTAAAATATGAAGCTTAATATCGCCAGGGGGCATCTGGTGTGTCAGTCAGATGAATGAGGTAAGCTGATTTATGCCCTACAAACTTCAGCCAAGGTGTTCCTGATGGTTTAATAGACTGCTGGCCTCCCACAGATCGTTGCTAACTGCAAGGGAGATTTTGCTGAGGTAGAACTACAATCATGTGTCTCCACTTCTTGTGAGCACTCCACATCTCCCAAGCTGTTTATTTTTTGTCTTTTCCCTTTCTATTGATTTTTGGTTGTGTTTTCTTTGCAGTTATAGTCGGCAAATGGCTGAGTAATAAATTTATATTTCCAAGCTGTAGAGAGGATTTGATTTAACAAATAATTTTTACCATTTGGAGCAGTATAAAATGAGTTTTCCAGTTGCCTTTGCAGTTATTTTCCCCCTTTTTATGCCATTTTGCTGTATTGTCATGTTTGTTGTCTTTGTTTCTCAGAAAGCAATGCTTTTGGGGTGATGATGGAATATTGCCTCATTACAGGTTTCTTTGCCAGATGAGTTCCCTTAGTGACAATTACCATTCAGCAGTGGATGCTGCAATAGGTCAACCTGTACTTTTTGCTGGTCACTCTTTTTTTTTCACATGCTTTACTTCTGTGTAGAGCACTTAGAGGCAAATTGTGCTCCTGCCTTGGTAATTGTTGCTCTGCTACTCAGGGGGACCATGTAAGGGGACATAGATATTCTCTGGATGTGTGAAGCTCCACAGGGATCACTAACCTGCTGGTAGGAGACACAGGGCCAAGGCCATGGGAGATCATCAAAAGCTAAAGTTTATAGCTTCTTAGCTGCTCTGTCTCCTGAGGGCCAAATTGTTCCTCCATCTTTTGCATTTCTCCGACCCTCTATATTTAGCTCAGGTGTAGTGCAGAGATTTTGTCTTTCAGAGCTAACGCTTTGACCGCTTGAGGGAAAGGTAAGTGTGGTGGTAGCAGCCTCTCCCAACCGCAACAGCTCTGAAAGCAGGCACACTGAAACCTGAGTGGGCTGAGTACTGCAGTAATGATGACCATGTCACTACTCCTGCCTGCTGTTGTGCCTTTCCGCCCATTCTTGCCCTGGGGGCTGGTGGTGGCATCCTACTTGGGCACTGGAGCACATGAATCTAGGATGAAGCGTGGGAAAATCAGAAAGAAGCTGTGTAGCATGGCACCACAACTGGAAAATAACTTTAAGCTGCAGCTTTAAACTGTGTCACTCATTGTTTAATTAAACATTGAGGATATGTATGACAGGGCTGGGAGTTAAACTTTGATGTATACTGGGTGTTCTCTGAGCTGCTGAATTCCACTTTTTGGCTGCTGGTGTTTTAATCCAATATGTCCTAGGGAGACCACAAGGTCATTTTCACAAGTAAACACCTCAGATCTGTAGTGTAAAACCAAATGTAGGAGACCTTTGATCACCAGTTAAACTCTAAGTACGAGTCTCTGTAAGTTTGCAATAAATCTGTTTATGATATGTTGTTTGTGTTCCTAATTATAAATTTGAAACAAAATTCAATGTTATCATAACTTTTATGATGTCAAAAGATCTTTCCATGCTGAGAATTTAAGCTAATTGAAAGGTTGGTTTGGTGTAACTGTGAAGATACTAATGGCATTTTTTGAAATACAAGTAGTTTTGAAATGTAATGAAAATGATGATTTAAAAGCACGTGTGGGCAAAGGCATAATTGATATGCAATATTGCCACAATATCAATATGACCCTGTTAGTGTAATTGAGAACAGAAATATGGACTGTAGCAATAGCAGCATCCCAATTTCCTTTCCCCTGATGCTCTCATTTGACTTGTAGTTTACCAACAGGTCATTAAACTGGTGGAGACATTGCATTGGTGCATCCTACAAAGATAGTATTTTTCAAATGAAGGACTACACTGGAAATATTAGTTTGGAAGTAAAGGTTTACCATCTCTATGTATGTGTAAAGAAGTAACCTCATCTTGTAGGGGTCAGGCTATCCTGACCAGTGCCTTGAACAGCACCTACCCCTCCCAGGGCAGCTTTGCCCATGGCTCAGTAACTTTGGTTGCTCTGGGTCTTAGGAGTCCTCTGTAAGGAATAACATTGCCTTGAAGAAACTGGTGTTTGGCTGATTTGCTTTCAATTTTGCTGTCTCAGAGAATATCTTTGGTTATTTACTTCATTGCTTTGCAAAGGCAGGATTTATCAGTGACAGCAAGTAGAAATTGGAAGAAGTGAAGGGAGAAATTATGTGAGCCCTTTTAATACAAAGAACTGTAGTATAAGTTTAGAAGATTATTTTATCTTTGGCTTCACTGACAGGTCCCCTGTTACATAAATGTTCTGCTTTTTCCAGTTAGGTATTGCCTAAATGTCAGTCATGGCCATTTCCTGAAATAGGAACACTGAGTTTATTTAATTTGGGGGGTTTAAGTATTTTCCATTTCAGAATAATAAATATATAAGATATAGGATCTCTTCTATGTAAATGCTACATTCTGGGATTATACAGGAGTATGTTTAGATATATTAAAAACTTCTCAGTCATGATTTTAAGAGTAAAGCTTTGATTTTTCTTCTGACATTGCTACAGCAAGCTTTCATGTCAAAAGAAACCCACTGAAGATGTTGATTTATTGGGAAAGGGGTGAAATGTCATACTCTTAACTACATCTTTTCATTTTCCAAGCTCCTCCTAGAGAACTGACAGAAGAAGAGAAACAACAAGTTCTCCATTCAGAAGAATTCCTGATATTTTTTGATCGGACAATACGTGTAATTGAGCGAGCTTTGGCTGAAGATTCAGACATCTTCTTTGACTATAGTGGCAGAGATGTAGAAGAAAAAGATGGGTCAGTTTGAAGTTTTTTTTACTTTTGTAAAATAAGCTTTCTAGAGATAATTCCAGAGACAGGGAGCCTTAATTTTAAACAAAATTTAACATTTTTATAGTTAAAAAAGGTTGAAATTTCTGGATGAAGGCCTGGGTTACTTTGTTATCTGAAATTATATTGTAAAACACCTTTGTGCTTTATTGAACTGGGGTGTTTATATTCTACTACTGTCTCAGGTCTGTAATGGATCCCACTGTACTGTGCTTTGTGGGGATGAAAAGGATGATTTCCCAAAGTGTTTGCAATCTAAATGGCACAAGAAGTGACAGGTTTTGTATTCAGCAATTGGTAGGGGAGCAGAAGCATTGAAACTTGTTAGGAGGAGAGAAAGTATTTAGATTTCAACAGCTACATATCTGTTGAAGCCTCATGGCAGATCAGTAGCTATGTTGCACTGAAGTTACTGGAGGTTACCCTACAGCATCATCCCTGTGGACTGACAAAATGCATCAGTGTGACAATGTTGGACTAGCACTATGCTTCAGCCTGTCTGTAGCATCTGCCATCTCCTTCGCTGAATGCCAGGGCCAGGTTCATCCCGAGAGTCAAAGGGCGCAGAGATGGCCTAGGGTGACCCAGAAGAGTCAGAAAGGCAGTGAGAAATTAAGAAATGTGGTTTTGTGAAACAGATGTAAAATTTGTTCCTTGGTGCAGATTCATTTTCAGCAAGACAGTCTGTGAGAGCAATTAAATCAAGGTGGCAGACTTCCCCAGGCTGGGCAGTAGTAGAACTGAGAAGTAGTCAGAAACTTCTGCACTGCTTTTCACAGCTTTTGAACCCTGGTATTTCAAGATTTGTCACTTTGTTTGAATTCACACAGAGATGTTCAAGCAGGAGCCAATCTTTCCTTCAACCGACAATTTTATGATGAGCACTGGTCAAAGCATCGTGTTGTCACCTGTATGGATTGGTCTCTTCAGGTAAGATGTGAAGCTGGGAGACATGCTTCCATATCACTTACACTTCTCCCTAAAAAACTTATGGGCATCCTTGATTTGCTCTTTTTTATGAAGAGTAGGATGTTATTTTTTAGGTAATTGGAGGGCCCTGGATGAGTGAATGCATGTTTCTCTATAAAGAAGAGTAATGGGACAATAATAAACCTGTTATTTTTTGTGAATGTCTTGGTCTTGGTCTTCAAAACCAGAATGTTTTATTATAACAGTAGTAGGTTAACAAACCTACTAAGGTGGAGTCTTACTTTTTACTCTTTCTCCCCTCTCTGCTCCTTCAGCACATGGAAATTTTTTTAGGATAAAAGGTTTAAAATTAAACTAATTAAAATTAATTTACTAAACAATTGATTTAATAAATAGTTATACATAGTAATATATAAAATAGAAAAAAGAATAGTGAGAAATAAAATTAATTTTTCTAATCTACTAATATACTAAAACAAAAGTGATCACTGCACCAAGCCTATCTGAGTTCAAGAAGCATTTGGACAACACTCTCAGGCACATGGTGTGATTCTTGTAATGTCATGCGCAGGGCCAGGAGTTGGACTCAATGATCCTAATGGGCCCCTTCCAACCTAGCATATTCTATAATTCTATGATTTTAAAAATGTAAAAGTATCTGAACAACTTGAAAAGATTGAAAAGAGGTCTTTCAAAAAATGCTGGGTTCTCTCTTCAAGCGATGGAAGAGGAGGCTGCAGCTGCCCACAGGGCATACTAAAGCAACATGCCTGGAATGTATCCAGTTTCTGTGTGCCACAAAGCATTGTCATTGCAAAATAAAACTGATGATAGAGCTGCTTAAGCTTTCCAAAACCAATACAGTCACATCAGCAAAGTACAGAAAGCATGTTAATTAGTTACTCTATTGGAGAGCTGGGATTAGCACACACACACATCATCACACGTCCTGTTAAATTAATTTGGTTCCAGTTTCACTCCAGCCCCCCTCATTCTCTCTATTTCATCCCTATCAGCCTGTTCCTATGTTCCAGCCTGGAGCAAAGCATCTGCTTTCCCTGGGGAGAGAACCCAGGAGACTCTGCTCTTAAGTCCACAGTACAGGTAGAAAAAAACCGCTCCAAGAGGACATAGAGTTCAAAAATGTGAGCACAAGCCAGTCTGCCTAGCTGGACCCAAACCCGGCCTCAGATGTGCCCTTGGGTCTTCAGAGACCTAGTGGAGCCTGGTGTGGGTAGCAAAGGTGCTATAGAAGTAGATCAGCCCAGTGTTAAGAACAACCTTTGTCTAATCTTAGAAGCAGCTGCTCTTTCTGCACCACATTAGATGTGCATGTGGACACAGCAAGCGCTCAAGACCCAGTACGTAAATGGTGTGTGAGGGCTGGAGAGAGGCAGTGGATAAGGAGCACAGTGACTCTCACATCCATCTTTCTCTCCTTCCCCTTGAAATGGCAGCAGAGCTGCTTCCATCCCCCGGGTACTTCTCAGGTAAGGTGACAGCAACTGTGGCTGGTAGGCTGAGTAGGTCTGGGTGGTGCACAACAGCCAGCTGCAGAAAGGCTTCCTGTAATATCGAGCTTGCTCTCTGTGTGAGAAATGATTTATACCTTTGCTTTCATACAAAATATCAGCCTAACAACAGGTATGCACTATTGTGATGTGGGTGGCCTTTAAGCACATATGGATTTCTACAGAAATCAAATATAAGCCTGAGGAAACACTTATCTTAGGTTGTTCACTTGTTCAGGGGCTGGAAATTACATGGAATTCTTATCTGATATTTTCCTAACAAGCAGCTCTTACTGTATTCCCAGGGCAGCAAGAAAAAAAGCCGCCTCAGAAGAACACTGCCAAATGTAATTGCTCAGCCCCTGGGGCTTGAAGGCATGTTCTGCTTCCCACCTCTTTGTTCCAGGGTGGCCCCTCCTGCCTTCCCCTTTGTTAACTCCTCACACACAGCTCCCTGGCACTCCAGGAGGGGCTCTTCTGTGCCAGGGGCCTTCTTCATGCCGCCCTACAGTAGCTTGGGAGTATGGAGTTGCTTCCTCTCTTGCCTGCTTTGAGTTTTATCCATGGGACAGGAGCTGGAGCCAGGGAGAGGTATTTCACCTATCCACTAGCTCTGCTTCTCACACATGCTCCAGGACATGACAGTGTCCAGTGTGTCAAAGGATAACTTGAATAATCATGAGAACTGCAGAACACATTGCTCAATTTTCTGTGATAAAACTGCTTCTGCGAAACAGCCTGGAGGTAAATAGAAACTTAATCAAACAAAGGACATTGATGCATTGATTAAACAAGTTATTCTGTTCCCAGTCACATGTAAAATACAGTCTCAAACATGTGGGATCATTCATACCAGTAAAGCTAACCACTAGCCCCTTGATTCTTTCACAGAGCAACAGGAAAATGGCTTAGATGCATCATTAGGGATCTTAGGGAAAGGCCCAACAGACTGAGAGTAAACACAAAGAAAGTGGGATCACCTTACTCTGTCCATGGGAGCTAACTTACCAAGAAAACCACAGTCTCTGGAATAGTGATGTGTCTCTCTTGACTCTCAGGCAGCAACCTCGAATGCTGTTTTGCACAGCACCATTTCCATGTTGTTTTCAGTTGCAGTCACGGGACATCTGGCTACCTGGTGAGGACTGAAATTCTGTAAATGCAAGTAGATTGGTGAAGCATTGGAGTGCACAATGCCAGAGAAGATTTAGGGTGCTGCATTTAGCTCTGTTTTATAAGAGTCAAAAAGCCTCATAATGGTGTTACCCAGCTAGGTATGACCCCAGTAACTGTGTAAACTGTATTTCCAGTCAAATACATAAACTGGTTGCAAAATCTACATATAGACCAGCGAGATTTCAGTCAGTGTTTGTTTATGGCCAGACATGCTGCTAACCATGCTTGCTAAACTTCCCAGGAGCATTTACCAGCCCCAAAGTGCCTCAAAATTGGCACTTTGGACCTAGTCACACACCCTAGATGGCTGCAGTCATGCTGGTGGAAGGGCTTTCACTTCTGCCTGCCAAGGTGTCTGTCCCTTCATGTCTATGGTCTCAGCTGCTCACGCGAATGGTACCTAATCTGTTCAGCCAAAACGTGATGCCCTGTCAAGAGCCTACTGCACACACTGTTTACTTGGACATGGGCCAGTGTGGGATGAAAAGGTTCAAAGGAGAAGCTGAGCTCGCTGTTCAGAAGTGGTTGTAATATCTGTTGCAGGAGAGACAGAGAAGAGAGGGGTGAGATGGATGAGAACATTGGAGGGCAGGCTGGTACCAGCGTGTCCAGAGAGGTGGTGTCTCAGGTGTGGGATTAATTCACCCTCAGGTTTCCCTCTGTTCTTGAGGAAGGAGAAGAGGTGTTGGTCTGCTGCATCCCCTAATCCCATGCAAGTGAATTGGGCGCTAAATTGTCCTTGCAGGCTGTGCCAGCAGCCAGGGATGTAGGTCCAACCCAGTCAGAGCTGCCTCAAAATGGGACAGAGGAGGCTATGATGGCCACGTGTCATTGCTGATTCTTCTGCATATGGGTCCAGGCTCATTTGGAACGATGAGCTTGAACAGAAAAATCATCAGCTCTGTGACGCATTATCCGTGGAAGCGTACAGAAAGTGGGAAGTAACAGCTGCTGATGGCAGAAGTTACATTATTTCTTCCAAATGGATTTTGAGAGCAGAGAGGTTCAAACCCCAACAATAATTATAAAAAGGGTGGTGGTTTGGTTTTTTTTAATTGTTAGAATGCCTTTGGACCAAATTCACAGCTCCCAATTGGCAGTTTATTTGTCCCGCTCCCTTTGCATGTGCCAGCTGTACTGTTCCCCTGTAAAGTGGTGAACGGTTTGGCAGGAATTTACCTGGGAAAGACAAAAAGTGACAATAATCTGCAGATATTGTTGAGAAATTTTGAGGGAAAGCATTTCTAGTTTAGAAAAGGAGAGTGTGGGTCTTGCAGAACTTGAGCTGCTGGCTCATTGGTCTGCAGAAGCCACATGCTTTTCTCTGGACATGCCATAAGGTCCACTGCTTTATTTTGACTATTTAGAGGGAAGGACAGAGGTTACCAGAGGTGCCTAGTATCAAACATGTCAGAGTGGAGAACGGGAAGTTATTGTATAGACTGAAAGTAATTGATGTTCTGTGGACAAATTGTTAGTCCTTATGGTGTTTTGAAATGATGCAAGGTCATCAAAAGAATGTGAAAATCTGATTTTTCATATATGATATTATGTGTGTACATATATATATAAACAAAGCAAGTACATATATGTGTTGCATATCTACTTCTATACAACACTGGATAATGGGTGTACAAGAAAATATGGATCTGATTTTAGAGTGCTTATTGCATCAATCTCACTGAGCCAGTGGAATTCAAGATCACCCTGTGCTTTATAAGATGACCTCAGCATCTTGCAAAATTGAGCTTCTGTGAAGAAAATGGGTTTTTTTGCCATTTGAATCATCAAGAAGAGCTTTCAAGTTGATTCTATGCATAAGTAAATAAGAGTGCATAATGAAATAAGAAAGAATAGTTTTCAGGAATGCTGAAAAAAATGTGAATTTCAGAATAAAACAAGTCAACTCCATGGTCATAGTGTTTTTATTATCAAAATTGATTAAGACAGTAGTTTGTCCTTGAAGAGATGGTTAAGCAAATATGTTAAAATTACTCAAGCTTTCAGATTTTTTCTCTTCCTTCCTTTGCATTCCCTTCATAAAAATTCTGAAACTTGTCTTTTTTGAGAATTACCTGCAGAAAATAGCATTGCCTTTGTGATATCTGAGAATAACTGATAGAGAGCTATTATCAGGGGCTATAAGGGTGTTAGGAACAAGTAAAATATAAACCAAAATGAAGCAGAGTAATATCATTGAACTAACGTGTATTATAATTAAAACCAGATATTGCACATTTAGTGTAGATTATTTCTGTCTCATGTGATTTTGCATAGGTTTTTTCATCTATCTTATTTCATTTGCTTTTTCTTTCTAGTACCCTGAGTTGATGGTTGCGTCTTATAACAATAATGAAGATGCTCCACATGAGCCTGATGGGGTAGCCTTGGTATGGAACATGAAGTTCAAGAAAACCACACCAGAATATGTGTTCCATTGTCAGGTAAGATTGAGGCAGCCATTAATTTTGTGCTAGACAAAACGGAGTTTACTACGTAGTACATCTTTCCACTGTTTATATGAAGAGGTTGAGGTTAAAAATAGGCCTTTTTGGAAAAAGTACAAGTGGCAGTCCTGTGTTTTTAGAAGGCAAACAGCCTTCTCAAACAAAAGCCTGTCAGGGCTGCGTGTCATTCTTTGTCTATTTAAAACAGTCCCTAGGAGATTTAGTTTATAAAGCCCTTGCACTTATGAAGTAACTGTGGTGTACCACTTCCTCATCCAGGCAGCAACACATGCTTTCCCACCCACGTTAACTTCCTCGCATCCTCTGCACTCAAGCTGCCTACTCTTGCCTGGTTCTGCTCAATATTTTGCCTTTAATATTGGGAAACACACTTTGCAATTTTGGACGTGTCTGACTTACAGCTTGATCAAAATAGTCTTGATTACAAGAACTACTCCACCAATTCGTGTCTGACTGTCCTTTAGGTTAGCAAAACAGTGCTTCACTTCACTCAGTGCTACTTTACAATTATGCCGGTTTAGAAGTTTATGGACAATTCAAAAATCGTTGGGTGTTTTATTTTTGTATGTCTGTTTACTCCTCTTTTGCCACTGCTTTTGTGTGTGAAATGGCACAGCCTCACATCAATAGAAGTGTTCAGCTCATTGGCTCCATCAAACTGTCCAAACTGTGGAAGAGGGCTTGGGCCAAATTTCCAACCTCTTCATTAATATCCTTCTGTGGTAATTAAATACAGGTCAGTGGTATTCGAAAAGCCATATGGAAAAGTTTCAGCAAGTAAAACTTAACAATCAGAGATTAGTAAAATGCAGATAATTCTGTGGTAAAAATTGCTTCTCTTGGAAGGATATGTATTACCTGGCTAATTGTGTAGGCTAAGTGTCATTTTACATTCAAGGACCAAACATCTTTTTGAACTAAGTTTATGTTTGGACTTGGGTACATTATCAGATGTAACATAGTGGGAGGGAGTTGCTGGAATTGAAGTTGCTGCTTCAACCTGATTAAGTAACCTTTAATTCTAGGCATATTTTTCTAATTTGCTATACTGAAAAACAACCTCACAAGGAGTCTAAGCCTGCATAGTAAATATGCCATACAGATTTATATACATATATATGTGTGTGTGTGCGTGTGTGTGTGTGCGCGCGCATGCGTGTGTGTTTGTATTACCTTTGAAATGAGAACTCGTATTTTTCTGGAGATCGTATTTGGCAGTCGATGTGTTCTTTCAGACTGCTTAAGATCTTAGCTCAGATCCCATGTTCAGATTCTTCTATGATGTACATGCAGCTTAATGTTTTGAACAAAATATTCAAGAGAAGAGTTGCCCCACTGCATTTCCAGGAAGAATAATCCTTAAACTAGATAATGACCAGATTCAGGGTAGCCGTTCTGAGTACACAAAGGAAGACTGACTACAGACATAACAACGTGTTCAATACAAATTTAAATTTCTATCTAGGTTTTAAAGTAGGTACACTTAAATAGGGGAGGTATGACTCACTACATTGAAAACAATGAGATAGGCTACAGTCTCCATTAGAAACACACACAAAGTGGTGGCCAGAGATTTGGCATGGCTGAACTTCTGTCTAGTCCTCACATTAAGTTGGATGTACCCCTTTTTAGAACTGGAACCTTAAAACCTGTGAACTGAGAAACACGTTTGGCACTGTACTTGTACATGTATCCTGGTTTCATCCTCTTCCAGCTAAATAAAATAAGTTCTGCCCATGAGAAATATTTATTTACTTGGTCAAACTGTCCACTGATAATTTGTGTTAAAACCCATTATGAGTGGGAACTTTGTTTGAACCACCATTATGGGGCTTTTGACATGAAATATCTTCTGCATATCTTCAGATCAGACAGGGATACCCTCATGTGATTAAATGGGGAAACAAAAAGCATGCAACTTGGTCTCTTGAACACAGGTTTTTTCTAACTGACTCAGATGGAAAATAAGAAAAAAATAGTATCTTAGCTCAGAGTCTGGATTTCAGTTCTGTAGATCATAATGGTTTTCTGTTAGTGGAAACCAACTGTATTATTAGTCAGCCCCATATCATTTATATTACCATTTTGCTAGAGAAACATTCCCTTATCCAGTCCTGATTTGGTCATTTCTCTAGGTTTTCTGAGAGAGAGGCCCAATTTTTGTTCCACAATACATGATCTTATAACAGTCCAGCTCAACAGCTAGAGATGAACACACACCTTATCATTATAGCTAGGTTGCCCAGATACGATGAACAGAGTACTTTGTGTGTATTTTCCCAATAAGCCTCTATTTTCCTTTCCAATGACTTTCTATAAAAAAGACGCCTCCATAAATCCTACATGATGCTAATATACCTCTTGCCTTTTGATTTTTGGGCTCACAGAACAAGACACAAGCAAATAGAGACTTATTTCAGGTGTGACTTTCAAGGAGCTCTTGAAAGCCGCTTCTGAGAAGCCAAATCAATAAATAGGTTTATGAAGCCATTTCTAAGAAACTTCTAAGAAATTTCATATCAGGAGTTCCGATTACATCAATAGAGATAGATATGTGAAACATCTCTCGACAGCTAAGGAGCTGACTGGAGGTATGACTTCAGATACCCCTTGTGCACATTTGGTAAATTCTCGAAGCTAGGAACCTTAATGTTTTTCTGTCTCCCCTGGTGTATTATACAGATGTGAGATGATTACTATGGAATTTCTTGATATTCTTTACGTCTTTCTGTGACTTTTTATAATCTTACATAGGATCATTGAAATTGTCATAATCAGAACAGGCTTTCCAAGGGCCTTTGCTGAAAGCTGCCAGAACGCAGCAGCTTCAAATAAAGTTGTCTATCAGCCATGACAGATAATGCAAAAATCTACTGGCAATGATGTTTTTACTAACTCCAATCAGCAAAACATTTGATTTCAGTCCTTAAATGTGAGGGGTGGTGTATTCTGTAAATACGAAATTCCTACCCAATTTAAAGTCATATTAGATTGTTGGCTCATTAATACAATTTAAGTGGTAGCAAATTTCATAGCTCTACAATATGTTGTGCTACAAATACTGGGTTCAATTTCAGTTAATGGAAAAATGTTTAGTTAAAGAAAAAATGACTATCAGCCAAGTGGACATGTTTACTCATTGATTCATGTGAACTGCCATGTGATCTATCAGATCCTTTCTAAATAAAACAGTCCTGCTGGCTTCTAGTCTCACCTCCTATGGAATATTTTTTTCTTCATGTTTTATTTTTGCCCTTTTTTGGGGTTTTGTATTTTTTATTATGTGCTGATGGTATTTTAGATGTGAGTCCCAGATTTTTTGCTCTACAGCTCATTATACATCTCTTTACCACAAGGTTAGAAATAGGAAAACAAGGAAGACTGAGGGATTGGGCAATTTGTTAACTTGTTTTCCTATGCAAGCAAAAAAATGTTGTCTCAGAAGCAAAATCAGAGTGGGAGGGTGATTTTTACCAAAGGGATGAATTCTCAATGCTTTTCTAAGGTAGTGGGGAATAAATTGAGCACGCAGTTAATACTGCAGAGTGCAGACTGGGAATATCTTTGTAGGGAAGAGTCAGGGGTGTCCTCTTCCCCCATGCTGAAGCATCACAAACTATTGGTGTAATCCATTGCATTCCAAAGGCAAAACACAAGCCTTTCAGAAGTAGTTTATGAGACCCTGCAGATGAGTCATCTCTAGTTGGGTTGGTTTGGCAGTATCCAGAGAGGGAATGAATTCCAGCAACAAAATGGAAATCACATTGACTCTCCCTCGGTTTGGTAGGGAAAATTTTAAAGAGTGGTTCACACTACTCTCAGCTACTGTTGGTCTGCTTTTAAGTGGGAATGACAAAAATGAAAATAGTATTGCAAGGTTATTGATGATATGACTCAACATGAGCTCAATCCTATATCGATTTATGCAATCCACAGGGCTGGTTGTATGTGAACATTCTCATGCTATTGATTGATAGTGTAGCAACAACCATATTTCTCAGTATTACTCTCTTTTTCAGAAAACACTTACCTATCCATAATGTGTTTTTTCACTGAACATACAAATAAAAATCTACATTACCCATTAATTATGAGGATTATTAGTACTACTCATCATCTTTGCCCATGATGGTGTTTCTGTTTCACAGTAGTCTGATCTAAGCTTTCTAAGCCAGTATGATGTGAAGAAGTATATGAAACTTTCCACCAACATGTCTGGTTAAGTGAGGCAAATAAGAACTCAGAGAGTTTGCAATAAATTGTCTAATTGAAGTCTGAACTATTACACCCTTTCTTTCAGCAGAGCCTGTTAGCATGGGTACAGCACTGCTCTTCTATCAGGTCCCATAGCTTTTGGGTTAGAGCTCATCTGCAGAGACAGAAGTCACGAGGAAAAGAAATAATCTGTGTCTCTCAGGGACTTTATGGTATTACAAGCCATTTTCTTTCTTCTGGAACTAAAGAGGGGTTATTAAAGTCGGTTGAGGTATCTGGATCTCAGCTTCAAACATCCGTCATTTCAGGAGAGGAGGGGTGGAGGAAGACGCTAAAGATATTAGTTTCATGCAAATAAACCAAAGTGAATGTTGCTGTCTGATTTGGAGGACTCTGCATTGTCTTTGGAAAGTTTGACAAATTCTGCTTTACTACACCCAATCTAATGATAACAGAAACAAAAAAATTACTACATTAACTGTCTTTTGATTTATTATGGATTATTTCCTGATCTACTAATTTCCTCTTTCTCTCAGCTGTGTCTTTTTCAAATGTCTCAAAAGGGCAGTGAGAAATACAAATCTGACACTTAGAAGCAACTCCATTCAGTGTATTTTAAAAGAAGGAGTGCACATATGAACCAGCTTTTATTTGAGGAAGCAGTAACCATTGAAGAGTTCTTTCATGGAGTCGACTTTTAGCATAATCATAAAAATATTTCAGCAGTATATCACTTTTAATAGCTGCAGTTATTTCCGTCC